AGCAGAAGAAAAACGGTGGAACATGCCGCGACTGTTTAGATATGCACGCGGCGTTAGCTGTCGGATTAAAGATTCGACAGCTGTCTGGCGGGATCCTCGGCATCGTCGTGAATACGTCGAACGTGCGTTCGACGCGTCGTCGATGCGCGTTCCCTTATCCCCGCGACTGATAGCTCTCGAGCGAAAAGTATTTGAGGCACGTCGACGTGTGAAACGAAGCGCGCGATATTACCGCCGTACCGAGGCGCATCAAAGTGACAGACCTGACGTCCCGCTAATTATAAGGTAGACCTTTTGTGTAACAAATATTCTACAGCGATTTAATAGCAGTTGTAATCTGATTTTTTCTTCATCAAGATTACAGCGCGGAGAGCGACGAACGATCGATAAATGTATCTGGCGCGTTAATTAAGAGATAACAATCCCCGCGTGCGATTATTATTATTCGGAATGTGGAAAATGCTTTTCCGAGATAGAGTCTACCTTGAAGCAACGATCTGGAAATGTCAGCCTGCCCGCCGGGAAAGACTCTCCTCACGAAGATCCCCATGTCACCTCGGGGGCTGTCCTTGCCACCTACAACGCTGAAGCCTAAACTGGGCTTGCCGTAGCCCTTCTCGAATCTGGCCACGTGTCTCGTCAGGTAGTGCTGCGATTCCGTGGCGGATTCCACGTTGCTGCGGATATTCTTTTGATTTTCGGATAAACACGAGAGCGGCAGGAAGTCAGGCCTCTTCCGTGGCTGAAGAGGCTCCATGTCGCCGTCGCCGATTATTTTCTTCTTCTTCTTCTTCTCGACCGATGCGGAAGCGTGATTCGTTTCGCTGTCGATCAACGACATGCTGGACAGATTTTTCGCGTTTTCCAGGTACTCGTATTCGCCAGGTACAGTCGATGGCGGATTCTCGTATACTTGCGGCACCGTCTCCTCATACGCCGTTGTCAGTCGTACCGTATTACCGGTAAAGGACCTCAAAAACTCTTGAACCTCCTCGAGGCTTTCCAGCGTTTTAAGTTCTTTACCTTCGACTTCGACAATCTCGTCGCCCAATCTCAATCTGCCATCCCTATGAAAACAATAATTTATTATTATCAGACAAGGGATTTTTATTATTTATAATATTAATTGACTTATTATAAATCTTATTACATGTTTTTTAAATGTTATAAGTTCTACATGAATACTTAAAAAAATGTATAAGGAAATTAATTTATTTTTATTAAAATTTAAAATTATATCAAAATTATATTATATCAAAATTAATTATCTATAGGTAGTTACTCTTCGAATTTTATCTATTCTATTATTCTTAAAAAAATAGAAAAATCTGCTGATAATTTTTTTACGCATATATATATACACATACCTATGAGCGATGCCATCGCTTTCTAGTTGCACAACGATGTATCGCAGATATCCTAGTCTCTGTTGCGCCAGTCGGATCCCCAAACTATCCTTGGGATCTCTTTTATGCAACTCTATCAAGCAACATCGTCGTACCCTCGTTAACGGTTGAATAATATCGCTCAAGAACCTCGTTTTGTCTTGTTGCAATCTCATACGATGAGGCGAGACATCCAGCATCTTGGTCGTATCCGACAGAAGATTCAATCTGTCCTCGTAGTTTGGAAGTGGAGTATCTTCCAGCCGTGACACGGCCTCCTCCTCGAAGGACGTTCCGTGAATGATGGGCAGCATCCGCCCGGAGCCGCTACGATGCCACTTGAGACCGTCGATTCCTTCGAGATTCATCCGAGAAATCGCGTCCGGTCTGTTCTCATCCACGTCGGAATTCTGCCTGAGTCTGTCAGCGGTATGGGTGTTTTCCTGATCCTGGTACTCGCTCGGGGTGGAGCATCTTATGGGTTTGTCCGCCTCCGAATCGACAACGCTGCTGGTGTCCGAACTACACTTCAGTCCCTCGTTCTCCAGAGTTGCCACCCCAAATTCACCCCGCGGCCCGTCGCTGTCGTAGCCCGACTCGTTCGAGCTGACGTAGTGAGACGACAGCCTCTGCTCGCAGCTCGATATCGAGTTCCGTCGGTTGCTGCCTCTGAGAGCGGTCATCATCATGGCGTTGAGATCGACGCCACAATTCTCCGTTATCCCGGACTCGAGTCTGCCGGCAGCAAAGTCCGTCTTATCGCGCGCGGTATCCTCGGTGTGTCGAAAGTCGTTATTCTCCCGAAGGGACAGCAGACTTCCATCGAACAGGCTGTAGCAGCCAGCGATACCCTCCCGATGAAGTCCGGCTTCGATTCCTTCGAGGCGGCTGGCATTCAGGCTGTACCTGTCGGCTTCGAATCTGCTGCTGGAGTGCCTCTGGAATTCCGGGTAAGAAGTCCGACCCAGTCGCGAGGCATTCTCCTGATTCCGCGCATCGAGGCCGTGGCCGTTCCTCCCGATCCTCGATCCCGATCTCTTTCGCCCGAGGGTCGTGGTGTTGATGTACGAGTCGTCGATCTGCAGAGTCGGAAAATGCTCCTCCGACACGGTCTTGAAGAGCCTCTCGTCCTTGGAGACCAACGATCCGTGACGCTCTTCCGGCAATACCGACAGCTTCGATCGCAAGAACGCGTACGGGAAGTTGGACTTTTTCGTCTCTTTCAGATCGCAGCTGCTGCTCTTCCTCATAAACGGCTCGTTTTTCGTTTTCTCGAGGTCACAGGTGCTGAAGCTCACCGAGGGGCTACCGAGGGAATACACGGAGGCGCAAGGATCACTGTGCGCGCGAGGCTTGAAGATCCTCTGATCGTTACCCCGGTGACCCGCCAGGTCGTCGCAGGACACCGTCTTGTCCTTTCGCGCGGCTATTTGCAGGTCTATACCTTCCGAGGGGTCGTCGCCCTTCACGTAGGTCGGACTGCTGTTCAATTGGCTGGTACTGCAGCTCCTGAACAGGCTCTCCTTGTCCGGCATTCTCTCCTCCATATTTTGAGATCTTCTGTTGCTTCTACTGGTCGAATTGAGCATGCCGGTGGAACCCATCCGGATGAAGAAGGATTTGAACGGAGACGGGGATCGGTGACAAGCCGCTGGTAACTTTCTGTTTGTTCTCTCGTCCAAGTGTACTTTGCTTAATTGATGGTCAATGTTATTGTTGCTAGTACTAGTGTCGTTATTGTTGAGGCTATTGTTATTATTGATGCCGTTGTGTTCGACAGCGTTGGACCTTTCCGTGGAGCAGAGACTCTCACGTCTAGTTCCCCGAAACGAATCGAACAAATTTGGGATCCTGAGACCCCAAATCCTAGATTCCCCCGGACGCAACGCTACAATGAAATAATATTAATGTAATTGACATTTAATTATAATAATATAAATACATTATCTCAAAAGAAATAAATCTATTGAATTATTTATTATACAGTGGACTGTAATTTTAAACAGTTTTAAGTGCATTTTTAAAATCAATAAAGAATCAAATTCTAAAGGTAACTTATCTCGAATAATAATCACGATCAAATATTTACGTTATTGCTTAATAATCAAACAACAACACTATCTAAATTGTAAATGAAAATACAATTATATACATTTGATATAATCATTCGATGACAAGACGAAACGGAATTGTTTTTCGCGTCCCAAGCCTCAATGGAAACGGTCGAGGGATGGAGTGAGACATTGAGAACCATCCATCGCGGAACATGGAACGAAAAACCAGTCGATGCCCACACCCGCGTGCGACATATGGTGGTTTCTCCAGGATAGCCATGGCTATCCGCCGCCATATACGAGGAACTCGCGGCAGCGGTTCCGCGTAGTTTGGGACTACTTTTTCGAGGTGTCACCCCGGATAACGGGGCCGTGACACCAACACACATCAGTTCTACATAACGAGAAACGATTAAAAGGCTGCTCGAGTATCGGGCGCACGTGTTTTGCGATCGCGGTACGATGCGTGCAGAAGGCAGTTTATACCGTGTCCTGTCGTAACGGCCTTATTTGTCGCCGCGTCCCCATAATCAAAAATATCATTTAGAATGTTTCAGCTCGTGTGTCTTTCGCTATCGCGCTGATTTACAGGTGCATAAAAAACGTCTAAGGAAAAAGGGATGTCACGAAGAACCAGGCATCATCCTGAATTCTTTTATTATGGTTAGTTATATAGGAATAATGGACGCTATTTTATTTAATAATATTTTTCAAGTCTTTTATAAGATTACATGACAAATAATTCGTAGGAAAATATTACAAGGTTTTGATAAGTAATTAAATTTCGAAATATATATTATATAAATTAAAAATAAATAATAATTTGCTGTTGGTATATTAATATAAATTATAAAGAGTTAAAGCCCTAGTACTAATTATTGCTAATTGCCATTGTCTTCTATAAATTAAGAAAAAAATATATACTAACGTTTTCTCCTTCTTTCTCTTCGATATTTCTGTTTTTCAATTTTCTAAATAACACGCAACAGGGAATAACTCTACTTACGTGTATTCTAATACATCTAAATGTACGAAACATCAAGGTTTAATTAATATTCCAAAAGATAAGTGACCTCAGTAAAACAACCTCCAGTTAATGATTTTGGTTCGAGCGAACTTTCTATTAAAATGCTATTAAAAAATGCGACGGGAAGAAGCAAGAGCATCCTACCCTATGATATTACCATATTGATAAGTAGTCAAACACAAGTCGGTATTAGCAGGTATATGTCGGGCGACGATGCTCTAACGAGGCAAGTGCGCCAGGCGAGTGATTAGTGAAAGGATGCGATGTTTTTCCTGGATTAGCGGTAATTCGCGGGGATTCCGTTCGAAAACAGGAGACAAGATCAGTGATGTCGACAGCCAAGCGGGGCGGTACTTTTTGCGCATCGTTACTGACGAACACGGGACGTGGAAGTCACCAGAGCATACAGAGAGCTCAGCTCTGAAAAGTATTGTATTTAGACTCGCTACAGAAACGATGTCCACGCACACTGTATTGTTCGAACGTGGTAGTTTACAAGCTTTTTATGGCTGCGTATTCCCTCGCTCGCAACGCATATACCGCTGTTCGACGATAACGACAAAACTACTACGTCGCTCGTAAAAGGAGCATTGATAATCTTACACACGCTTTTACTAGACGTAAAAATGTTCTATGTACCTCCCCCCCCCCCCGAATGAAAATGTAAAGGAAATGAAAGCAAATATTATTAAATCGTTGCGCGCATATATAAGAAGTTAAAGTTCATCAAATGTGACGATGTTTAAATTAAATATCTTCTTAAGACTTAAATAATCAGATTTAAATAATGAATAACTATAATAATCATAATAATAATGACTTGGAAAGAAATCATAAAGCATTTGATTAGCGTGCTTCATTCCACCACATTCCTTCCTGCAATATTTAGAAATAAAAACAGAAATATTGAAAAGAAGGAGAGAGAGAGAATAATAAATATATTTTTTCCTTTAGTTTATAGAACACAATGGCAATTAACAATAATTACTAACGACTTTAACGACTCTTTGTATTTATAATACAAGTTGTTAATGGCACATTATTATCTAATTTATATTTCATATTATACGATCGAGATGATTGATAACTTACCTCGTTGCTTACTCGGATCGTGCTCGACGATGAAGGCCGGCACGGCAGTAACCGTTTGATAGTCAGCCTCGATGACATCCTGCTCATTGTCCTGCTCGTTGTCCTGCTCGTTGTCCTGCTCCATTTCGAGCAACGTCTGCCGCAGCCGCCTCGCCGCGGGCGTGTCGTCGCAGCTTCTCCGGGTATACTTGGTTCTGGAGATCTTCAACAGGGCGGTGGTTTCCAGATTCTGGCTGTCCGTCCGCGGCATTGAAGTCGCCGACAGCTCGTCCAGCGGAACCGTCGCGTTCGATAAAGAAAGGGCGACATCATCGGCGCTGTGGCGCCTCGACTTCGACAGGCGTTTAAACATCGTCTAGCTGCGGAAAGGCAAAAAACGATGCGATGATAAAACTTACATGATATAAATAAATAGCGCGCCTGTATTAGTACAACAATATTAAAATCGATCGCCGAGTAAAATCTCAATATGAAAATAAAATAATAAAGACTCTCTATGACGCTCTAATAATTTCTTTTTTTATTTTTAAATGTATATATAAATGTAAATGTAAATGTAAAATTAATTTTTATTTTACATTTTATTTTATTAAATCATTTAAGATCAACTTTCTTTCCCCAGACACAAGAAATTATCATTGGAAAATGTATCACCTTTGCCAAGTGTTTCTTTACCACTCTCTCGATTATTTTGTATTACTTTTTTTACGCTACGATACGTAATAGTATCATAATGGTATCATGACTGGCTTAAAGTAGAACGTGGATCTCATAAAATTTCTAAAGGACGTATACGCTTTAAGACATGATCTCATAATGAGCGCAAGATGAGCGATAAAAATGTTCCGCGTGCATCCTCCGCCGCAGAGGATGATTGGATGTAGGAGAGGAATTACTTACGTCATTCTTTATCCGCGCGTGTCGAAAAGAAATGAGGGATTCGTTATAACGTGTACGATCGATGTGATGCGACGCGATGTGCCGCGCTCCGCAAGTTTCCAAGTACGATTTACCGTTCAATGTCTGATGATCGAAGTACTCGACGACGAATGTTTTTGCAGCCGCGAAAAGATACCGGTGGATTCGCGATCTTTCATTTATCACTCGAATAATGATATCGAGATTCTCCTGGGAGAGAAACCGATGTACCAATCAAAACAATCGCGATGTCGAAAAGAAATACGACATTTATTTTACATTAATGTAATAGATACAACCGTTGTTTTCTCGTGGTTTTATAATATCTATTGAATAAATGGCTATCGCTTTTAATAATCTTAAGAATGATATTGAATTTATCATGGAAAATGCGTTCGAGGAAAAAGATAGAGTGAAAGGAAGAAAGAAAGAAAGAGAGAGAGAGAGAGAGAGAGAGAGAAGAGAGAGAGAGAGAGAGAGAGAGAGAGAGAGAGAGAGAGAGAGAGAGAGAGAGAGAGAGAGAGAGAGAGAGAGAAAAAGAGCAAAATTAACTTCTCTTGCGATTGACCAACGAAGGCCACTTGTTACTTATTATTATTTTTTTCCTCGCCAAGGTTCCCGGATTTCAGTCTCATAGTGACTTGTGTGTGAATGATTTACACACACGGGTGGCAAGAAGTAGGCAGGCGAAAACAACTTTCTTGGAATGGACGTTGTTGCATTTCAATGCTTCTATCCTCAATCCTTATCTCGCATCTTTCCTCCTTCAAGCTTTTTGCAAACTTCCTTTTTCCTCGTTGCGTTTATTCGTCGTATTTATTTCAGCCGGTTATATCGTCGCCACTCAATATGGATTAAGCTTGCGGCTTTCCATTATATAACGGCGATATTAAACGTTAAAAAAAATAATAATAATAATAATAATAATAATAACGCTAAACGCAACATATCCAATAAATTTATTTCGCACGCGTTCATTTTCACATTTTGCATCTCCTCTCTCTCCGCCGTTCCGCGACGTTTTCCGCGACGTGTAGAATCGCGGCGGAAAAATCGCGGATTACGTTACGTCGTAACGTCGGAGATACCAGACGTGCGGGCGGGGAGAAAAATTCTCACCCCCCACGCGAGCGAATAAGCAAAACTTACGATGCACACGTGTACGCGATACCGCCGCGAGGCTGGAGAAAGTCAGTCTCAGTGGCGCGTGCAGGAACTGCATGCTCCACGCTCGCGTATGCATTTTTCCAGTTGTCGAATATCGCACGATTTCACGTAATGCATATGCCACGGCCGGCAATATTCGCGCTGCATCAGCATCCAGCGGCAGAGGTGTCCGCCGTGCATTACCGCCGCGCGATCTTTCCGGAAGAGGTAAGATCGACCGACATTCCGCGATTTCACCGCCGATTTGACAGCTGGGTGCTTTCTAGGACGTCCTTGCGATGGATCAAGCGCGAGCGCGTCGTTATAACTCGTGTATACCGATGAAACTCCGTGTCGAAATTGACGAAGCAAATTTCCCAATCTCTCGAGATCTTAATTTGCCATTCGAGAAACGGATGTTTCATAGTTGAATACATACGATATGATATATATATATATATATCTCAATTACAGGATTATAATTTATGTCGGAGGCTTCTCGATTTCCCTTTCCTATCGACGTTTAGGGTAGGACATTCGAATCGAGACGGATTTGCATTTTCATGAGCTGCACTCCGTAACGAGCCTCGTGTCATGCGGCATACATTAGAGGAGCTCAAAGGGGTATTTCCGGTGTACGCACGCGCGATTAAGTTCTCAATGAGGTTCATATTGTGGTGAAACTGAAAGAGACATACGCATATGACACCGTAGAATAAAAGGCAGAAATTGTACGTGCCATTTATTTCGAATGTACGCGACATTCGTTTCGTTTCTTTTTTTTTTTTTTTTTTAACATTTATCTAGAATTTAAAATTCTCACAGGCCTGAGACCGCCTGAGAAATTCTCCCGTCGATAAAATGTCTGAGACAAAGCATAAAAATGTAATATGACATGCCGTAATTGCCGTAACGTAATAATAATATAATAGAATTGAAAAAAAAATACACGTTCATAACCAGATATTAAAATTTATTACCGAGGATGTCTGCCGGTTAAATGTAATTAATCGGTAATATAACGCTAACTTCAGCCCTTGTTTCCGGCATAGTAAGTCCTTCCGTTTCTAATAAACAGCCGTTCGCATCGCGAAGAGGCATTATCGACGGTACATTATATTCACACGACTCCTCTCCTTCTCTCCGTTTTCCAGAGAGTTATATATATATATTTTTATATAACTATGTAGAGGAGAGTCTACGCTGTATTCTTTATTGCTTGACTTGTCCGTTATGTACAACCGCAACCTGCGACTGTGTTTCATGCTCCGTTATGACTGCTGCTTCCGCAACTTTTTATTCGAGCCCCTCCCCCCCCCCCCCAGTTGGAAGCTATAATCGGGAAAATGCTCGGGCGGTTTGAATGACGATGCGTTTCTCTCTGCGCTTTGGAGAGGACGGCTCTCCTGGTTTCTATTTTCAGAGCGGAGAGCGGTCCTCCTTTTTCGACATTCGACATTTCGAAGATTGATCGCCCGTGCGACATGCGCACACCACGCGCTGATCGGCCAACGCGGATCGCCGCTTCGTTTGAGTCATTCCTTGCCTGTGTTTGTCGCGGGTGTTGTATTACATTGTCCGTCCATTGTAGTCCAGGCGGGTAACGAGAGGCGGGCGGAAGGGTATCGAATGTTGCGCGGCATAAGGGCGACGTTACGCATCTTGCATCTTACATTCGTTTTTCGAGGAGGCTCGAGGTACCTCGACAAGTATCGACTATCTTGGCTCGGGCTACTTTGCCGCTCCTCTCTATTAGCGTAATAAAATGCAGCTTTAATAAATGTACGTGCGATCAGATTACCCATTTCTTCTTGTCATAATTATCTCAACACGAAGATCTCGGTGTTCTCGGCGTAAAGTAGACCTCGAGAGTGAAAGAGGTAACCGAATCTTATGTCTTAATTAATTTTGATAAACTCTAAAAGTCAACAGCGACACAAACAATTTTGCTTTTTTGATTAGAAGAGATTAGTGTACAGGAGAAAATATGTAACTAATATTTTTTTATATTTTAATATTTTATTTATAATATTTATAATATATTATTTTATATTTTATATTTTAATCATATACAACGTATTTTATAACATCTGTTATATTATTATTATATTCAACTCAATTTATTACGCAAGCTAAATGTTAAAAAAATAGTGCGAGTCAGAAGTTATATTTTAAATTATATTATTATTACTATTTTATAGTTTAAATTAATATTTTTCTTCTATTCACTTCTATTTTACGCGGATTTCCGAACATTAATAATCTTTAAACATCCAGCAAAGAAATAAAAGCAACAAATAACAAGAGATATTAAACTCATACATTATCATAATGCTTGTCGGAGAAATATG